AGTAATAATATGGTAATTTTTTATTTTTCCCTCAAATAAATATGTTCTATTTAATTTTGCTTCTCAGTACATTTTTTTTTTCCACCACCGTTGATTTCAAATTATTCAGTTTTACAGAAACACATTTTAAAAGAATACAACAAGCTAAGTTAACGTGTGGATAACTTTAAGAATACTAATTTTTTAATGTAACTCACCTATGCTGCCACATTCGTGCTGATATTTCAGTTTATATGGCAAAAAATATAAATAAGATCGTACAATAAACTCCTGAGAGCTATAAGCTAGAAATCATCACTAATATTATCTTAAAAATATTCAGAAGAAAAAAGCACAGAATCGTCTGCAGTTTAATTTTTTTCAGTCGTGACTTCTGAAGGAATTAAGAATTTCTGTTTTTTCAAACTCTTTTCCCGAACGATCTAATTAAAAATTTTAAACAATTTTTAGGATCAGGGGGAGCGTTTATGTGTTTTAACAAAGTTTTCTAGTAAAATATGTAACTTTTTACGTACACAAACATTCATACTCTATTGGTTTGGTTTAACTGCTTAAGATTTTTAAAAAAAAAACGGAAATAAAAAGTATTTTTTTCATGTTAAAGAATTTAGATCTTAAACATTATCATCATCTATTTCTCAAAAATTCAGTAGAAACCAATATAATTTATATAGATTGCTCTAAAATCTCTGCCATTGAATAACAATTTTCAGAAACCTCGTAAAATAAAGAAGTAAAAAAAGTATACTCTCTGATGGTTTCTAATTCAAAAAAATAAAAAAAGCGTCATTGAAATGTGTTCAATCACTAGAGAAGAAACTGGTGGAAAAAACTTCGAAATAGTTTAATTGCCAGGTGAAACTTGGAGGGGTTTCTAACAATCACTTATACACTTTTCTGTGCTTCCACCGGCAAACAAATTCAAATATTTTTATTCACATCATCTTCAGTGGAGATTTGTTAGAGTTAGGTGGCAATATTTTTCTCTGTTTAAATACACTATAATAAAAAAATCGACGCACCAAGAAGGAGTTGTCCGATTGAAGCGAAAATTGGTGGATAGGAAGACAATGTAAAGAATAGTAAATGATTGAAATATCAGAACAATTGAATAATTTATTGCAGAGTTACAGTAACAAGTTCAATAAGGTGTTGACCCACCTCTAGTCTGGATACAAGCTCCCACACGGCGTGGCATAGACCGATAAAGCTCCAGGATGGTCTCTTGCGGTATTTTCTGCCAAATTCGATCCAATTGTCGAACGAGGTCATCAACATTCCGTGCCAGATGCAATCGCCTTCCCATCATATCCCAGACATGCTCGATGGAAGAGAGATCTGGTGATCTGGCAGGCCAAGGAAGAGTTCGACAAGCTTGCAGACAGTTCATAGCAACACGTGCCGTATGTGGTCTGCCATTGTCCTGCTGAAAAACCAGCCCAGGGTACTGCAAAAGGAACGGTAGCAATGCAGGTCTTAGGATGTCGTCGACTTACCGCTGTGCAGTAAGTGTACCTCTAATGACGACCAAAGGGGAACGGCTGTCAAAGGAAATTGCACCCCAGACCATAATACCTTGTTGAGGGTCAATGTGGCGTGCAATAGTGAAGGCAGGATCCCCCCTCTGCCCTGTGCGTCTCCAAACACGTCTTCGATGACCGTGAGGACACAGTTGGAAGCGGAATTCGTCGCTAAAGACTATACGTCCCCAGTCGGCATCATTCCAGCCATATCTATTCAAAACATTCATGCCTACGAAATTTCAAAGCAATCGGATGATTGCTTCTTGGTGCGTCGATTTTTTTGTTATAGAGTGTATTTATTAACTCTTTTGTCAAATGGAGCAAGATGCCTAAGGAACTAAAAAAACTTTGATAAACAGAAAATGTAAGCTGTCAATGGTTTAAAATAAAAGTCTTATCTGTGATAATAAAATCATCAAATTATCAATCAATCAATCAATTAATCAATCGTAACTTCATTTTTAAAGCGCAGGTGGGCGTAAGCAAACAGAAAATATAATTATCTTCATTGTGTTAATGTTATTGGGGAACCCGAAATAATCTATAGATATAANATTAATCAATCGTAACTTCATTTTTAAAGCGCAGGTGGGCGTAAGCAAACAGAAAATATAATTATCTTCATTGTGTTAATGTTATTGGGGAACCCGAAATAATCTATAATTATTACCAAACAATAATTTGTTTATGAGATACATCAATATTTCCTTTTTATATCACCATAATATTTTTAATATCACCTTTATATTTTTTAATATCACCGTAATAATTTTGTATTGCTTATTATAATCCCGGTAGCAGAAACCATCAAGCACGCAGCTAGCACTAATAGATTATTACAGTATCTGCAAATTATTTTTCATTAAAGTTTTTTTTTCTTCTTAATAAGTGAACAAACAAATGAGATGAAATTACTGATGAGCCTTTCTAAAATATTTCTAACATTGTTTCTAGCACAAATTAAAAGGATTAATTTCAGAGAACACCACAAAGAACAAAAGGTAAAGATCTATTTTTCTGATACTTGATTATTGTCTCTGTAGGGATTTATTTCAATTTCTAGAATCATGTTGTAAAATTCAACTTAAATTCACGCATGAAGTTTTCCTGTATGATTTTAAGTAGTGTTTAATAGTGTCTTGTATTTGCAAATTCAGCTGAATTTTTTCAATAATAATTTGTCTGAATACGTTGAACTCCCAAATTTAGATACTGCTACGAACAAACTCCGTAAATTCTGCTGCAATAATGAATAAAAATAGTGATGTTGCTTATAATGAATAAAAATAGTGATTAATTTGGTGAAAGTTGTTTAACTAAAAATATGAATTGAAGGGTCAGTTTTCAGTTAAATCAAGCAAAAATAGAGGGCAGCACTAAACTCTATAAATAATTCAAATTTTTAATGTCATGATCATATAAAGAGCTAATAAGTATTTGTCCAAATGTCATATTTCTTGAATTCTCAATGAATGTGTTGACTAATTGTAAAATATATATGCACATCAATATATTTTTTTTTAATTAAGCTTTTACTAAAAGCTAGCAAAAGCATGAAAGATTGACGCGAATATTGTAGAAATGAACCACAGATTTAATTCATAATCGAGATTCTTTGTTATCTAAAGCAAAGTTTTGATCTTTATGATAAACATTGTACAGATATTTTTAAAAAAAATAGTGTGCACTATATGTCAGGTAATTTTATTTGAAATTCAAACTATTAGTTATATTTCAATATTCTTTACTTTCAAATTTTGCAATTTTCGTTTTAAGAATTTTTATCACAAACTTTGAAGTAATCGATTTTCATTTGGCGATTATTTAGGTTGTAATCAATAACATTATAAAATAAATTAAACGTGATTGTAGGTTTGCAATCCCATTTTAAGTTAAAAGTTTACAATCAGGTCCCCTTCTTATTTTGACAATTTTTTATTTTTTATTTTTACAAAAATCAGGGTAAAATACTCACAAGTGAGATTTTCTAATACTAAGTAATCAAGATAGAAATAATCGGAAAACGGAAGGTTTTATGCACAGTAAAAGCTCCAAGGTAGTGTCCAATCCAAAGAGCTTCCTATTCTCCCCTCTAATCTATTTTAAAATGCATGCGTGTAAAAGTGGAATTTCGGTTTATTGAATGCGAATTTTTAAGATCTCTGTTTTGTAAGTCATCAAATTGCTCTATACGAGATATAAACTTTCAAATTTAAGCATTTTTCACTAATTTAACGGCCATAAATTTTTATCTTATACTCTTACTTAGCAAATGCTGGTATTTATAAACATAACTTTTATATGGGGATATAATTAATATAGCTGGTAAAATATTCTTTATAAATGTTGAGAAAAATTAAAATTGCTATTTAATAGCAAAAAGTTCGCGAGAAACGTTAAGCCTACCCAATAACTGAAAGCATCTTCTGCATTTATTACATTATATTGAACTATTTTGAATTTCTGCTATGCCAATATTAAAATTTAAAACTGTGTAGATTGTTCTTCTGGTTATTACCCTTTGTTCAAATTTAATCACTCATATTTTGGCAAAAAAAAAAAAAACAAATTTGATGTTGCCCAAATTTTGGTAAATAAAAAATAATGAATTTATTGTTTGTTCTATTGTTTTCAAATTAAAAAAAATTAATTGAAATTCAAATTAACTTTTTGAACTTTAGTAAATATAGACTAAGTTATTAAACTTAAAAATATTATAAAGAATGCTATATAAACAAATATACGCCCCCCCTTTACGGTAGGGTATATCGGGCAGTGGTATTTAACCTTAAAACTGAAATAAACCAACCATTAAAAATTTTAATGTCTATTACACGAATAGATCACATGATGGAATAATACCCTAAAAACATATGTCAAAGACAGTGGTTAGAAAACATCTTTCAAAATCCAAAAGCATTTATAAAAATTTAAAGAATTTTAAAATTAAAATATTTCTTTAAAAAAAGTCTACATTGTTCAAAAAAAGTTAAAAAATTATTTAAAATAATTAAACTTTGAAAAATAAAAATTTTTTAACTGCTAATAAACTAATACATTACAAAACTGTGAAACAAAAAACATTTAGCTCAGCAAATTTGATAACCATTTTTATGCTTACTAGAATGCAATCGC